ACTAGTGCTTCCCCCTCCTTCCCTTCCTACTGACCCCGTTCTCCCCGAGCGACATGGGCACCCCTGCCCAGAACCTCTTCAACGACATGCTCATAAAGGGAAGGTCGGTGGTGGTGGAAGCCATTGCTCTTCTAAAGGGCCGGTGGAAGATTCTTCAGGATTTGAACACCGGGGTTCATCACGGGCCTCAGACCATCGTCGCTTGTTGCGTCCTGCACAACCTCTGTCAGATTTCCAGGGAACCCGAACCCGACCTCTGGAAGGAGCCTGATGAGACTGGACCTCCTCCCATGGTATTTCTTTTGTGTTGGAATGGGCAACTTCTCTGACCCATATGAAGCGCAGGGACTAGCACATTTTTTAGGTTTCGAAATTTACTTCATTTAGGTCATTTTTTTAATATGCATGTTATTGGTGGGTAGGATCCACTTACTTCACTGATAATTAATCTCTATCAAAGAACTTGATTCATCACCTTTAGTGGGGTTGAATCCGTAATTTAAAATCAGCTTATATACCATAACTCTTATGGAAGCCCTATTGTCTATCTTCTCTAAAATGTTTAGGTGCATAAGTTGATTTTTAACTTATTGGAGAAGTTTAATTCATTTTAACTTCTTATTTTCTTCTCCTATTAGTGTTTATTGATAAGTTTGTTTAAACAGGGTCTTAAGCATTTTATTTTTTTGATTTATCATTGGATGGCATTTTTTGAATACTTGGGATTAAAAATAAGAATTCTGTGTATTTGATTTTTCAGAACACATGCTCTTCATGGGGAGTGGTGATTTTCCAGATGAAAATGAGGTTTGTTTGGCTACGTTGTGCTTTGTATATTTCTGTCTGTTTGAAAATAAGATCAGATCCTTATGTAGATTAATTGGTAGGCTGCTTTACCTTACCAACACAAGGCCAGATATTAGTTTTTCAGTCCAACAGCTGAGTCAATTTGTCTCTCAACCTAGAGAACCACATATGCAAGCCGCTTTGAGAATTGTTAGATACCTCAAGGGAGCACCAGGCCTTGGTCTGTTCTATCCTTCTGCCAATCCTCTCAAAATTCAAGCTTTTCAGATTCAGATTGGGCCACTTGTGCTACTACTCGCAAATCAGTTATAGGGTACTGTGTTTTCCTTGGCAAATCTCTAGTGTCATGGAAGTCCAAGAAACAATCAACTGTTTCAAGATCATTTTCAGAAGCTGAGTATAGGGCGTTGGCTTCTCTTACCTGTGAACTTCAATGGTTGAAATTTTTGTCTGATAGTCTCTTTGTTCGAATTCCAACTCCATTCTCTGTATTTTCTGACAGCCAATCTGGCATTCAAATTGCCAAAAATCTCACTTTTCATGAGAGGACCAAACACATTGAAGTTGATTGCCATATCATTCGAATCAAACTTCAAGAAAGATTGTTGCACCTCATTCATGTTCTTTCAGCAAATCAGCTAGCAGATGCATTCACTAAGTCCTTATATCCAAAGGCTTTTCAGCATGCTATCTCCAAGTTGGGTCTTTCCAACATACACGACCCACCTTGAGGAGGGGTATTAGGATTAATGAGATTTTTCTCATTAGTTAGTCTATGATTAAATCAGTTAACTTTAACCATGGTTAGGGACTGACCAATATATTGTATATATATTACACTAATACTTGAGAACTGAGAGTACTGAAAAAATGAAACAGGATGAAAATTTCTTTTCACGACTCTCTCAATAATTGCAGTTGCTAACATATGGTGCCAACAAAGACATTAGATAAATTAATGTAAGTTAGTAAATAATTTTGATAATACAAGTTGAGCATCAGATCATACTTGAATAAATAATTTTGGTGAGAATGGTTGACCTTAGATATGTTACAATTATTAACTTTAATAGATTTGTAGATGCTTATAACCATATCTTAGTGTGAAGTGTGGGGAATCATTTCATGTATGCTATTTCAATTAGATTAAATGACCATGGATTAATTAGTGGTCTTTTCGAAAGGTATGGCAAGACATAGGACTAATAGTTTATATATAAGATATCGACCTAAGGGATCCTTATTGCTTCTGTAGCAAATCCTCCCTCAAACACTAATTACGATCTTTCTCTCTTATTTAATTACCATTGCAATAACCAATCAATGGTTAAGATTTTGCAAGAGAGTTGTGGGAGAGAAATTTGGTTACACTACTATTCATTTTTGTGAATTTTTCTATAAAAAATATTAATTTGCAGAATTTTTTTATAATAATAATTTTACAATTATTTTTGTGAATTTATTTGTAAAAAATAATTTATAGATATTTTTTACAAATTTTTTTATAAAAAGTAATTTACAATTTTTTTTTTTGCAAATTTTGCTATAATTTTATTGATCATAGAAAATTTTTTTTCTATGATAAAAATTTACAAAAAATGTTGTAAGAATTTTATTTTGTTTCTTGCATATTTTCTTGTAAAAATAAATTTGTAAGTAATGTTTATTAAATGGCAGAAAAATTTCGTAGGTAACTTTTTCCTGTATATTATCCTACCTATTTTAATTAGGAAGAAAAATAAAAAAAATGTTTAAATTTATAAGTTTAATAATTAAAAAAATTTAATTAAAATAATTAGTTTACTAAATTATTTATAAATAATACATAGAGTTGAGTGTGGTGTTGGGAAGGTTAGATCCCTATCACCCATGTTTTTGAAATATTGTTGAGGCGATTTCGAAAAGAATGATGAGTTGAGATGTTTTGCTATGTTGTTTAGAGAGAAATGCTAGTTGATTGGATCTTTAGAAGCATGTTTCTTCATGCTCTCACATAGGGATGAGTTTTTATATAAATGTGGTTCTCCTTTAAATTAGTATTGTGAAAACAATATGTAGTGAGTTACTGCATACAAAGTTGTTGAATGGTCATTTCTAGGTCACTTGGACATGGATGTTGAGTTGACACATAAATCGTGGTTGGTAATCTAGGGTGCACCCCAACCTAGTACTGGAAGGGTGCGTGGTATCTTGAGGTTAAGCAGTGGGCTATATCCATATAGAGTTTGATTTTTTGCACATCAATATTATTGTAGAATCATACATTAGCATTTTATACCCGATGGTGATATTGGACCTTCCAAGTTATGTTGATGATACCTAAGTGACTAGGTTGTTACTTTCTGGTAGGGTTCATTCCAAGCTATATATTTGTACATGCATGATTTCCAAGTTTTGTTGCATAATAAACCTATAATAGAAGACATGTTTTTTCCTGCATAATTGATGTTGTTGATTTATTTGTATTGGTATGAGACCTGTCAAGTCATTACACTTTATCTTTAACAACAACTCTTTCTTCATCACCATTAGTAACTTTTGAGAAATAGGACTAATCCAGTTCCTTGAAAATGTTTACATCATGAGATATCTGATTTATGCATACCCTAAATCCTAAATCTTAAACTAACAAAAATTTATATATATATATATATATATATAGTACGTGCAAATACAAGGTGGATACTTGTCTTTTCAAACTTCTCCTTTGCTTCTTTATTTTTTTTTTCTTTTCTTCCCACTAAATAGTTTTTTTTCACGATTACTATTACATCAAAATTTGCCTTTGGTATTAGTACAAAAACACCTTTAACATTTTCTTCCATCTTCAAGAATCTTCTCTATTCAGTAGCTTGTAAAAATCATTTACAGGTTCTAAAAATGATATAATAAGAAAATTCTTTAATTTATTTTCTTTAATAGGAGATTTTTTACTCAAATCTTTCCTTTAAAAAGCATGTTAGCAAATTCCTTCGTTGTTTCATCTTTCTTCATTTTAATTGTTTCAAATTTTTTTCTTTCATTGCTATGGAATTCCTCCTTGAATTTGTCTCAAGCCTCTTTTATTATCTCAATATTTAAAATTTTTTATTATCTCAAATTTTTAAAATTTTGATAAAAATATCATCATGTATTGCAACTTGTATACTAGCAAGTACTTTGCCTTCTTTAACTTTAATTACTTCAATGTGCCCACAAATCATGATATTTTCTAGTAAATCCCTGAGGTGGAGGTTATTGGATATCGAAGTAACAAAATAATAATTCATAATTAAAATAAGAGGTGGAAAAATAAGAACAAAAGAGATAATGGAGATGAAAAAAAATTTCAATAATAGAAAAATTACAACACTCCTCTCTTTAGAATAAAAGAATTAAACTACTGAGAGAAAACTCTCAAAGTAGACAAAAGCGGTGAAGAAAATATTTGGGATGCTTATATAGGGGATCACAAGGATATATTATAACTTATGTGTGGGACTCCACAAAGTAAACCCACCAGTGTGGGACTTCTAATAGAGGTAAGGAATTACAACTTGAAGTCATTGGTTGAAGATTTTATGAGTGAGTTTTATTACTAGTTATCTCCCTCACATAAACTGCTTTTAAATTTTTTTCTCTTCCTCAAAGACCTTTAAAACATCAATGAAGCTTTTAATATCATATAAAAATGAAAACAAGAAGAGAGGAGAGCAAACCGAACAAGACAACTTGTGCTCAGAATATGTGTATTTTCGTTTGGGAGTTTTTACAGTGACTTACAATCATTTGAAAATATAGTTACAAGCAAAAAATTCAGCCATACCCGACTTAGTTTAACCACTTCCTAAAGTCATCAATTATCCTCCACTTTCACCTACAGACTAGAGCAAATTACATATGAAACATTATAAAATGTAAAATTTGACAGATTTTACATGTAAAAAACATATAAAAATAAAAACCTCAAATCTAACGGTTATTCATTATAATTCTGTGGAACAATGTTTTGCCTTTTTCATTTTTATTAACTGTATACATACGATAACATGAATGAACGTGGAATTCAGAAGGAATTATTATGAATCACCCAAATAATTTTTTAAGCTGTAACTCAGTAACTATAATTGCAATCGTTTTCATTTATCTTTTATTGATTTTAATATAGCAGCCAGAGGCAGACATATGAGGAAGCAGGGCAGGGAAGAATTTGCATTCATAATTGCTTGAGGGTTATTAAATTAAGGTCAATCAAGATTGAAAGAATGGACACACACCATGAGAGAGAGAGAGAGAACTTTGGCTGAGTTAATTAAAGATCTATAAATAAAGAACATAAGAGAGATAGATAGAGAGAGAAAGAAGAGTGAATGAGACATGGATGTGAAGAATATTGTGGTGGTTGTGGAAGATGTGGAAGCAGCAAGAACTGCTCTACAATGGGCACTTAGAAACATCATTCGCTATGGTGACATAATCACCCTTCTCCATGTCTACTACCACTCCACAAGATCAAGAAGCAGAACCAAAGCACGTCTTCTTCGACTCAATGGCTTCAAATTGGCCCTTTCCTTTCAAGACATGTGCAACAACTACCCCAATGTGCGTACCTACCCCTTTTTTGTTCTCTTTCAATTATTGATCGATTTTGCTGTGTCCAAGTTAACGGATATGTGCCATAATCATATAGGATTGTGTTACAGACAAAGGTTGAAATCATTGTCACGGAAGGGGACCAAGAAGGAACCAAGATCGCTGCCACGGTGCGAGAGATTGGAGCCTCCATGCTTGTGGTTGGACTCCATGATTCTAGTTTTCTTTACAAGTAAGTCCAATTTAATTGGAAACATTGCAAGCTGTGTTCCTGGATCGATAGAAACAACAATAAGTTACTTTTACATTAATTTTAACATGATTCTTATTTAGACGTAATCTTTAATGTGAAACCAAACATGTACAAATAAGTTGAGTTCAGAAAGGATAAGATGCATATTGGAATTATTAGTATTGTTGTGATGGGTAGATGATGATGACCCTCTTAATAATGTTGTTATATGGGTCCTCCACTCCTTCCTCTCCTTAGAATTTATGATTGTTTTAGATAATAATTATACCAATTTAGAACAACTCTTGATAATTCCTTTTCCGAAAATGAAATGTTTTTTAATATAGAAATTTTCGAGATTACTTTTGAGTTTGTATTCAAATAAAGCTTCACATTAATATTCTACTTGATTGTGTCTTTTGTCATTGTCATTGTGATCTTGATCAAGGTGATCAATGAAGTCCTAAAATTCAAGGCTCTTCGGATATGCATTTGGGGAAAAGGAAAAGGTTAGGTTGTGATTATAGGTCAACTTCAACCTGATGGGTTCTGGAGATTTTACTTTATGTATATATCTTACTCATTAAGATCCTGATAAAACAACATCAAACATAGATTAGTGGGACCTGGGTTTATTAAATGTCCAATTTGTGTTGTGTTGCTTTCTTTTTGCTGCTTCAAATTAAAAAGGTTTGTGCTACTGAGCTTCAAAAATTGGTCACGAAAAGCCTTGGCAAATGCATGTGCCTTCTTTAATGGTGACAAAGCCATCCAAAAACTTTTGGGATCCACTTTTTTAACTTGCTTTGCCTTTAAAAGAAGCACCCATGTTGCCTTCAGAAATGACATTGCTCTAACCATAACTTCATGGGAATAATTCCTCTTTGTCAAATTAAGGTCATTTTTCTATTGATGAAGAAGACACAGGTGGCAGGACAATTCAATTGCATTTGATACCTACTCACCTATTCATTGCATTTTCTCAAGCACATACCGAATGCATTGATTTCTGTTTTGTTCTTTATATTTTATATTAAATTTTTTACTTGTGCAACTTTGGAGTGGTACTAGGAGATATATATAATGATGAAACTCAAAACAGTGTTTTTATTCATTTTGTTTAGAATGGCAATGGGCCATTCCCATAATGGCATAGCCAGCATTTTCAACTGCAGAGTACTTGCCATCAAGCAACCTCATGCGTCACCAATGAGGCCCATGATATCTTCAGTGTCTGTGCTAGACAGTTCAACCAACATGGATTTTTCACAAATTCATGTTTCTAGATTACAGTAAGTTTCATCGCAACCTATCCCACCATCAATAATTTCTCAACAACACATTCTTCACTCAAGCTTAAGAATTTCGAATAAAGAGTATATATAAAAAAAAAAGGATTAAATTTTTTGTCTGTACACGAATCTTCACTATTTTCACTTTTAGTTTTTGAACAAATTTTTGTACTAATTTTAGTTCTTAAAATTTTGCAGATTTTCACTTTTATTTCTTAAAATTTTTCTTCATATTAACATTTTTGATCCCTCGTACCATGATTTTTTGTTCATGAAAAGGAGATTTTATTGGCTAAAATCAAATAAAAATTTGTTTTGGAGACTTAAAGTGAAAGTTGACAAAAAGAAAGTTAGACACTTAAAGCACATTTAATCTTAAAAAAGTGTTGTTAATCCAATGAATTAATTAGTACAATGGTTAAGTACCATGTAATGATTTATCTAACGAGAAATTCTGTGTTCAACTTCTCTAGCCTATAAAAATCTTTCACAAGTGATGGATTTTTTATTATGTGTGAAAATTTTTTGGTCAACAACCATCATAATATTTCGAACAACATTAGTCTATCATGTGGTGGGTTGGAAGGAAAAAAAAAAAAGTTGCTATCATTTTTGAATAAATTTTTAGTTGTTATAAATCAAGGTTATTATAATACAGCTTCTAGTAACTCAGTTTTAGAATTGCATTATTTCAGAGTCCCTCCTACCTCTCCACCAAAAATTCCATACCGTATATGTCCTAACCCATCTGCAATTATTTGGAGATCAAGGAAATCTAGGAGAAGGTGAAGGACACAACTTCGTACAGAAAAATATTTTCATTAAAGTAGTCACAAAAGTAATTTGGGCTACCCTTTTTCTTTTTCTTTTTCTAGTTTCCAATTTCCTATAATTTATTTATGTTCACCTGCCACACGTACACACACAAGAGGGAGCAATAGACATAGTATTGTTTGGTAGTTTATGCCTACATTTTTGTGATTGTATAAAGGATCTTGTGATATAATAGCATTACCTTTCTACTGATTCGAAGATTGGATAAGAGTTTTCCCATTTATTTATTTATTTATTTATATTATATCCATATATTCGGAATCTTGCCCCATCTAGTGCTACTACATGACGAGGAAGATGCCAAGACAGTGCCTCAGCCTCACTGACAAAATTTAATTTTTTTTCGCTTGTTCGTGCTCCACCAAATTCAAATGCTAAGTTCATTTTCTTAATATATATATATAT